TAGCCCTGGTGAGAATATATTACTATTCTCACCAGGGATTCCTTCAAACAATGGTGAATTTCAGCATGTTACGTGACTCCAAACCCCTGGAATTTTAGCATGAGAATGGTTATGCAACCTTTGACACGTTTTTTGGCTATATAATCTTATTCCGGTGCGGTCAGTCCTTTATAACCTCAAAAGTCCTTTCCACGGCGTTTGAGGAGGTTTAGCTAAGTGCGCCCCTCCCTCCTCCCCGCAGCGATGATAGCGCCTACGCTCCAGGTAGCTACCTACTCACTTCCGCCTCGGGGTGGCCTTTCCCATATCTTATAACATCCTTGAGGCTTTGTTTGTGGGTAGCCCTGGTGAGAATATATTACTATGGTGTCTTCCGTGTGAGAGGTCTCGAGATTGATGCTCATGGCCAGGTGTGTAGCTTCAAGTAGCTTTAAATATCCGTAAAACAGGGTACTGGTGAAGACGGGGTTTAAAAAGGTTTGTCTTTCATATAATGAAAAAAAAAGGTTGTTGGAATAACCGATAAACGTCGTTGTAAAACCTTGAAAGGAAATCTTTCCATAAGGAGTTTATTTTTCCGGCTATTTATATCATAACCAGTTATATTTTTTTGGCAACAGTGCTACGATGTAGTTGTAGAAATCTTGGATTGAGTAAATAACAAGTATGAAACGAACATTCTTGTTTTACATTGTTTGGTCAAGCTCGTGTTAGTATAATTAGGACAAGTATATTTATTACAACAGAGATGTTGGGATCCCATGAGATTGCAGTACGCATGCGCACGTCAGCGCTTTTGCTTCGCGTGTTCAGCAAAGAAACAAAAATTTTTCTCCAGCGTTTATCTACAATTATATCGTCCATTTCTACCTTTTTCACGTCAAATTCACAGGAATACTGTTAAGTGAACCTTATCAACTTCTACACAATGACAGAAGATCGAATAGCAGATGGTTCTCCTGGCCACATGAGCCGACCCGAAGCTGATGCAACACCGTTGACAGGACTCTTGCAAGGACTCCAAGCTTCAATTGCACAGCTCACTCAAGCCTCGCTATCCCAGACGGAAGCCTTCAAGAGCCTTAAAAAAGATCTCCTTCTATTACCTGACCCACAAGACGAATGTTCAGATGAAGGGCAGCCAAACCATGACACCATTGACCCAACGGCCACCGTGAATGCCTTGTTTGACACAAACAAAGGTGCCCACGTGGCAAAGTCGGCCGATGGCCAAGATCAACATTCCATGACAGAGCAGGATATTATTGATAGCCTGACTCAGGCTTTAAAATCCAAACCAAAGAAATCTCCACCCATTGACGCCAAAATCGCATCTTTAGTCGATGACATTTTGACCGGAGATTTGTCCGCCTTCCGAGGGAGAAAGGAGAGAAGTATCCTCCTCCTGAAAATTGCATACACCTTTAAGCTATTACTACTAATGAGGAAATCTGGGACCTCATGTCTAGAAAGAACAAGTCGATAGACAGCCTTCCAGAAGGTACAAGAGCCACTCGTCGAGGGCTTATCGGCGCTGGCAATTTTGTCAGACCTCCTAGTGAAAGACATCCAGTCTTCCAAGACGACAAACACACGTGAAGTTTTAAACCAAGTTATGGTGCGTTAACGGTATGAACCCTTACGGTTAACCTCCGATTTGTACTTTTCCGCTCTCTAATAATTCGGACTTAATTTGGGCGGAATGTGTTCCGAAACTAAAGAGGAAATAAAACCCTCGCAAAAACTCTTTTGGAGATGACCTATCAAAGCATCTCAAAGAGATGACAGACGCCAAACGCGCTGGGCAGCAGATGCAAAAAAGTAGCCAGTCTAGAAAAAGCTACAAGCAAAAAGGCCACCGATCCAAGCCTTATGATAGACCATCAACCAACTCCACCCATACTTGGCAAGGACACAGCCAGAAGAAATACAAGCGTCCTTTTTTAGGATATGGCAGGGCATCAACTCAAACCAACCAGAAGAACAACAACAACCAGAAAACACAGTAACACAACAGGTGATTGATGTTAATTGTAATGTCTCGAAAAGCAACATCTATAAAGATGACCTACAGGAAAAATGCTTACATGTTCAGACAGGTCAGGTGAGAAACTACTCACAACACTGGGATTTATTGACCAATGCCCAGTGATCTTGGATGCCATAAAACATTATCATATTGAGTTTGAGCTGGATGATCCCATCCAAAATAAAGAGCCACACAATATTCGTTGCTCCTCAAATGAGAAACATAATAAGTATGGAAATCTCCAAACTTCTCTCCAAAGGGTTACTGGAACTAACACACAGATCACCTGGTGACTTCAAATCCAATATTTTTGTAAGACCCAAAAAGGATGGCTCTTACAGAATGATTCTAAACCTAAAGCCACTCAATGAGTTTGTGGATTAACACCACTTTAAGATGGATACCTTTCAAATGGCGCTCAAACTCATACAACCAGGATGCTTTATGGCATCCGTAGATCTCAAAGATCCATATTATTCCATACCAGTGCACCCAGAACATAGGAAATATCTTATGTTCGAATGGGAGGGCCAATACTACCAGGTCACTTGCCACCCTAATCGGCTGTCTTCTGCCCCTCGAGTTTTTACCAAAATACTCAAACCAGTCCATTTACATCTGAGATCGATAGGTCATATTTGTATGGGACATATTGATGACTCACTTCTTGTGGCATATAGTCTTGGTTCTTAGTGTTAAACTGCGACCCCACTATAAGGGAGGTTGCGCAAGTAATAGGATTAATTGCATCCAGTTTTCCTGCAGTACAGTATGCCCACCTACACTACAGTACCTTAAAATCTGAAAAAATCCATTCCCTGAAAGTCAACGCAGGGAATTATGAATGTACCATGATCCTATTTCAAATGACCAAGACAGAGTTAACATGGTGGATAGAAAACATTGATATGGCATCTAGACCAATAATGTTCGGTAATCCAGACATCACTATTACAACTGATGCCTCAAACTTAGTTTGGGGCGCTGTCTGTAATGGGACTAAAACTGGAGGATCCTGGGGTAAAGATGAAGCAGACTTTCACATCAACTACTTAGAGATGAAGGCAGTACTTCTAGGCCTAAAATCCCTTTGTAATAATACTACAGGGAAATACATTAGAGTCCAGTCTGACAACACTACTACTGTCTCATATATCAATGAAATGGGAGGAATAAAATCTGTCTTGTGCAATGATATAGCTCAAACCATATGGGCATGGTGTGTTGATTCTAATATATGGTTAAGTGCTTGTCATATTCCAGGTTCTCAAGATACTGATGCTGACAAGCAATCAAGGGTATTCAATGTATCAGCTGAGTGGTCCCTATGCACTCAGGTTTTTGAAGACATTCAAAGACTTTAGGGCAAATTTGATGTAGAGTTATTTGCCTCAAGACTTAACTTCAAAATCCCTAGTTATGTCTCTTGGCGACCAGACCCCAATGCCATGTTTGTCAACGCTCTGTATATGAATTGGCACAATTACTCATTTTATGCATTTTCGCCTTTCAGTTTAATTGTTTAATTAAGAAAATTCAACAGGACCGGGCAACAGGCGTAGTAATAGTCCCCCTCTGGCCAACCCAACCTTGGTTTACAGTTCTCCTTTATCTACTTACGGGCAACCCTCGGATTCTACCATGCTCCAAAACCCTCCTGACACAGTCTCACAACGGTGCACTTCACCCCTTGAGGAACCAGCTGGGGCTAATAGCCTGCAAACTCTCAGGTGAACGTTCGAACAGAGAGGCAGTTCAAGCCAAGCTACTGATATCATCATCCAATCTTGGACTTCTTGAACCCAGAAACAATTTATATTTAAGCTCGATAGCGTGAGGAGTGGTTGCCCAATCTCCCGAGCCAGGGGCTCATGTATTAAACGCTTGAGCATTCCGGATCGAATTGGAATTTAGAAATGTTGGTTTTTGCGGAGAGGGGAAAACCGGAGTACCCGGAGAAAAACCTCTCGGAGCAGAGAAGAGAACCAACAACAAACTTAACCCACATATGACGTCGAGTCCGGGAATCGAACCCGGGCCACATTGGTGGAAGGCGAGTGCTCTCACCACTGTGCCATCCCTGCTCCCCCAATATCAACCATATATCAAGAAGTGGCTTGAATTTTGTCATGGAAGGAAGAACAATCCATATGATCCACCTATAGCAACTGTGCTTGACTTTTTGGTGAGTCTTCATGAGAAGGGACTAGGATATTCAACCCTGAACACTGCTAGGAGTGAAATTTCTGCGATTGTTCTTCCACATAACGATGTCACAATAGGGAGCAATCCTATTATCTCCAGGTTTATGAAAGGAATTTTCAAAATCAACCCTCCTACACCTTGCTACAAGACAACATGGGACCCTCATATTGTTTTGAATTACCTCTCATTCCTTGGTACAGGGGACAAATTGACATTGAAACTACTGTCAATGAAACTGCTTATGTTAAGTGCATTGGTCTCAGCTCAAAGAGGACAAAGTCTCCACATCTTGGATATCCGGTTTATGAAGGAAGGTGAGACACAGTTTGAGTTTCTACTCCCAGAACACATCAAACTAAGCAGACCTAGATATAAACCACCATCAGTTATGCTTAAAGCCTACCCCACGGATAAGACATTGTGTGTTGTTAGCCATATGAAGGAATACCTAAGGAGGACTAAGCCTGTAAGAGGAGACAGCACAAAGCTTTTCATAAGCTTTATGGAACCCCACAAGCATATCTCAAGAGAAACTCTGTCCCGCTGGATTAAAACTGTGATGGAAGCAGCTGGAAAAGATACTAGTATATTCCATACCCACAGCACAAGGGCAGCTGCCACATCAAAAGCAAAAGCAGCATGTGTAACCATTCAGGAAATCCTGGACACTACAGGCTGGTCATCATCAAAAACATTTGACAGATTTTATAACAAGCCTACATCTGATGAACTTACGTTTGCTAACTCACTTTTAAAAAAGGATTAGGAGAATCGTTTCAGTGAACTATGTTTATTCTGCTATACTATTGATACATCAGTTTAAGCTCCTTTTGAACCCTTATATTATGGGAGTTATAATCCAGCCATAGGTATTTACACAAGTTGGGTTTTACAAGTTGATAACTGTTACATGGACCCTCTAATAAACCTTTCATGGTCACCTCATATGATTCCCTTGCTTTAAAATCTCATGGGATCCCTGTAGCAGTGGTGACGAAATAGAATTTAAAAATTAAACGAGACTTACCTGAAAAATGAAGTTTGATTGTAATTCTATAGAGTCACACACTGCCATAGAGGGATCACATGCCCTTCCCATCAACACCATTCAGGTGTTGTCTTACCCTACCCATGTGTTACCTAGTAACTTGCTGTAGCTGTACCCGTATACTATAGGCAATCACATTTCGTGCTTCAAATACCGACGTACGCATGCGTACTGCAATCTCATGTGATCCCTCTATGGCAGTGTGTGACTCAATAGAATTACAATCAAACTTCAACTTCCAGGTAAGTCTCGTTTAATTTTTAAATTTTTGGGAGATGTAAAATGTGCTCAGAATGTCTTTATAAACTGTCTATTTTTTACATTGATTCATAGCATTATATTTTTCAAACTAAGAGATAATTTCGGTATAGTAGCGAAGACGCACGTGACCCACGAAATTATGCGAAAAACTTGGCAATGTTTCCACTTCTTTAAAAACCCTTTTTTGTGTCTATCAGGGATTTTGTATTTGAAAAGTTTTTAAGCTTGCTATATCCTGAATCCGACACCTCAACACCTAACCGAGAGATTAATAACTGTTTTGAGTTTATTTTCCCATTTGTCAATTACAAATCCGATAGATCAGAATCAGTGTTGGTTCTAAAAATAAGTTTTACGCTATGAATCGACTCTGACTAAAAGTTAAATTCATCATTGTGATACTCTTTAATGCAAAGCACTTTGCACTACTTGCGTCAAGAAGCAAAGACAAAAACATGAGGAAATTAAACGTTGGCTGGAGAAAAACACTGACAGTGCGAAATTAGAAGAACATGAAGAGACAAGGTGTGTTGAAATGCCTTTAAATGAAACACTGAAACGTTAACTCATTTTATTTGCCATTGCAAGTAACTGTGAAGTCTTGTGCACACAATTTCTCAAAAAATTAACACGGGTAACCCATCGAACCGGTATAGTCTATAATCACTGGTATGTCTCTAGTAAATATGTATTGTATCAAGCGGACACTTTTTATGGCGATTTTTCTTTTTTTTTTTGTATGTGGGAGGGTTTATGTGTGTGGGAGTGTTAAATTGTTAAAAAATCTTCCTGGGTTGCTATTTCATACTTACGACTATTTTTCTTTGTTAATTTTACTGTGTGGACTGGCAAAACGATGCTTAAACATAAAATTTTCTGTAATCGGAATTTCTGAGACCTGGCTAAACGATTCTGCTCATTCGGTCGATATTAATGGTTTCAAATTTCTGCACAAGTATAGGCAAAATAGAACTGGAGGTGGGGTAGGGCTTTATATTTCAAACGATCTAGAGTTCAAACTTCGAGAAGATTTGTCCCTCCATAATGTTGATACTGTAGAATCACTGTTCATTGAATTAATAAGACCTCGAGAAAAAAATATAATTGTTGGTATTGTTTACAGACCGCCAAATCATAGACTCGACGATTTCTTGTCTACAAACAATGAGTTGTTAGGTAATATCTCTAGAGAAAACAAAATATGCTTCCTAATGGGGGACTTTAATATTAATTTAATTAACTACCAAAATCACCACCTCACAGGCCAATTCTTAGATGGAATGTACTCTAATATGTTTTTTCCTTTGATTACGCGTCCCTCGAGAATTACTTCACATACTGCTACGTTAATAGATAATATTTTTTCGAACAACTTTTTTGAACGTTCGAGAAGCGGCTTATTATTTACTGACATTTCAGATCATCTACCCGTCTTCTCAATTCATTCAGATAACGTTAACACGTCGGTAAATCGATGTCGACAAGACCCCTTCTTTATTAGAGATAAGAATCCGAATAATATTCCTACTTTTGTTGAAAAACTAGAAGTTGTTGATTGGTCTTCGATTAAAACTTGTGATGAGCCAGATATTGCGTACAAACGCTTTCATGAAATGTATACAAAGATTTATAACGATTGCTTCCCTCTCAAGAAGGCGACTAGAAAGCAGAGGCGCTTTAAAAAACCGTGGTTAACGAAAGCTCTTCTTAAATCAATTAAAACAAAGAATAAACTTTACAAAAAATATCTTCAAGTTCCAACAGTCGACAATTGTTCACTCTACAAAAGATATAAGAACAAATTGAATCACACCTTGCGCTTGGCTAAGCGTCGGTATTATGAAAAGAAATTGGAAGATGCTAAATCAAATACACATGCGACCTGGAAAATTTTAAACGAAGTTTTAAACAGAAAAAAGCCAAGGCCTCAATTAAATACAATATTTAAGTCAGACGGTCAGGAGATTTCTGATCCAGTGGAAGTAGCAAATAGGTTTTGTAGCTACTTCTCTAGTATTGGTCCCAACCTCGCAAAGAAGATACAGCCTCCTCCTTGTTCACATAAAGATTTTCTATCTGGATCATTTCGAGAGTCAATCTTTTTTAGCCCAACAACAGAGGATGAAATTATTACCATTGCTCAATCTTTTGCTTCCGGGAAAGCGGCTGGATACGATAATATTCCAATGTCTATAATTAAGGAATCCATTCAAATCATTTCGGGACCTCTGGCTCACATTATGAATTTATCGATCGCTCATGGCGTTGTACCAGATCAAATGAAAATAGCTCGTGTGGTACCACTGTTTAAAGCTGATGACCAGTCACTATTCACCAACTATAGGCCTGTCTCGGTTCTACCAAGCTTTTCAAAATTTCTAGAGAGAATCATCTATAATCGCTTGTATGATTATTTAACTAATTTACATATTCTCTGTGATAACCAGTTCGGCTTCAGGAAAAACCACTCTACGACGCTTGCCTTGATTGATTTGCATGAAAAAATTTCATCTGCTATTGATCATGGTGAATTAGCGGTTGGTGTCTTTTTAGATCTCTCGAAAGCTTTCGATACAGTCAATCATTCCATCTTATTTGATAAACTTGAACACTATGGTATACGTGGCTTGGCTCTCAAATGGATTAAGAGCTATTTTTCCAACAGACTTCAATTTGTAGAATACAATGGTTATGTTTCGTATCGTGCTAATATCATGTGTGGCGTTCCCCAAGGTTCAATACTAGGGCCTTTGTTTTTTCTGCTCTACATCAACGATATAATCAACACGTCAACAATATTACAACTGATATTATTTGCTGATGATACAAACGTATTTGTGTCTCACAAGGATAAAGACTGCCTTACTAATATACTGAACGCTGAGCTAAATAAGTTGTCAATATGGTTTAGAGCTAACAGGCTTTCATTAAACTTGAAAAAAACCAAATTCATTGTATTTAAACCATCTCAAAAGCGTACAAATCAAACTATTCAACTTTTAATTAATAATCAAAAAATTGATCAAGTAAAAGAAACAGTTTTCTTGGGAGTAATCATGGATGAAAATTTAAATTGGAAATCTGAAATCTCACATGTCGCCAATAAAGTTTCTAAATGCACAGGAATTATTCGTAAATCCAGTTTCTATTTATCCACGAAAACCTTACGAACACTATATTTTTCTCTAGTCTATCCATACCTTTTTTATTGCAACTTAGTTTGGGCCTCTACTTACAGAACTAACCTTATTCGTCTTGAGATTTTACAGAAACGAGTGATCAGAACTATAGCTAAAACAACTTTCGATGCACATACTGATCCAATCTTTCAAAATCTTGGTATCTTAAAATTTCATGATATATACTTAATACAACTAGGCTTATTCATGTACTCCTATCAAAACCATACTCTACCTTTAAAATTTCATTGTAAATTTACCTTACAAAGTCAAATTCATTCGTATAATACAAGAAACTCGTGTAAATTTCGTCTGCCTTTCTGTCGTACTCGAACCAAACAATTTTCCGTTTTTTATCAAGGACCTAAATTTTACAACACCTTAAACACCAGCATCATCAACGCTTCCTCACCTTTCTCCTTTAAAAGAGCACTTAAGGCATTTATTTGTAATAACTATTAGTATACTCCAACAAAAATTTTGGGAAAAAGCCTTTTAATATTCAACATTTGTAAACTTCCGTAATATTGGTTAGTTTAATTTTTCACCTCATATTATGTTGTATCCGTCGCCGTAATTTTTATACTATCTTCGAATTGAGGAGAAATTGTAATTGAGGAGGCCTAATTAATATAAGCTCTATAGTTTCTTTTAGGCCTCCTCGCCATCTCTTCCTACATTTTTTCTTTTGGCATCTTTTTGTAATTATCGTAATCGTGTGGCACATAAATAAAATACCTAAACGAATGGCTGCGATGGCCTTGAAGAACAATTCAGAGTTGCAATGTACCCTGATAGCTTTTAGACTAAATGCTTTTCAACGTAACGTGTAGTTGAAAAGCTGTTTCATTACGGTTCGTAGCATTCTATTCTGCTCAGCCAGAGACCGTCCTTTCCCAAGGTCAAGCAATCTCTGCTCCTTCACTTTCCGCTGGCCCTGCTGCAACTGGTTCGCCTGCAGCTTCCGCACTGATGTTTGCAGAGCTTAAAAGCTTCTTGTCTCACGAACTTTCCTCCTTTAAGGGAAGAGTTGGAAAGGCAGAACGATGAATCCATCAACTCTGCTGTTACGAAAATTTGTTTAGAAAACTCGGCTCGCTATTCCGTTAAATCTAAGGGCAACGAGGAACAGTACAACCACCAAGAGAAGGTCGCTACTTACTTCGATAGCACAATTGAATCCTTCCATTCCGGCAAACTCCTTGAAGTCAGGAATGTTTTAAGGGAAGGTAAGAACCTTGTTGCTACCTGCATGAAGCATATAGTTCTCACTGATTT